CTCTCTCTCTCTCTCTCTCTCTCTCTCTCTCTCTCTCTCTTTCTCTCTCTCTCTCATTCTGTTCTAATTATTCATTTTATCTAATTTTTTAATTGATCAAAGAATTTTTCGTGGGTGTACGTGGGTGTGTACGTGCATGTGTACTCATCAGAATCGATGTGTTTAATTATTAAAATCACATTTATCGATTAATTAAATTATTACAAATTTTTTTCGTTTGTTTGTTTTTTAATTAATTGGAATGAAGTCGATCGATTGTGTTGTTGAATTCGTTTATAAACAAATTATTCATTTTATTACATTTACATCCACTTGGATGTTATTGTGATTTATTACCGGTTTAATTATTTGGTCATTATTTTGATTAAGAAGAAATTAATTAACAAATCAAATATAAAATAATCCTAATTAATCAATCAACAGAATTGATTGAATTATCATTACCTATCAACAATTTTAAATTTAAAAAAAAAATCCCAAAAACATCTTTTCCTGAATCATTATCAATTTTTGAGCAAGAAAAGAATAACAAAAATCGAAAAAGCCATCATCAAATTAATTTTTTCAAATTCCACTTGAAAAAAAATGGCTTCACCAATCGATTTTGTATCGGGATGTGTTGGAGGTGCAGCTGGTGTTATTATTGGACATCCATTCGATACTGTTAAAGTGATTATGCAAACAAGCAAACAACATATATCGGCAATGTCTGTCATACGTAATTGTTCGGTATTTATTATTTTTTTGCTTTCTTTGATTGATATTTTTTGATGAACAAACAAAAAAATACGAATAAGATTCATTTTTTTTAATTTTTGTAAAACAAATAGATATCATCACTTTATCAAGGAATTAAAGCTCCATTAACAGGATTGGCAGCCATAAATGCTGTTGTATTCGGTGTATATGGATCGGTAATGCGTTTCTGTCCCGGAAAATCCAGAAAACATGATCTTATGTGGAGTGGTTTAGCTGGTTTATGTGCTGGTATGACACAATCAATTATAAGTGCACCAATGGAATTAGTTAAAACACGTGCACAATTAAATTCAATAACTGAATGGAATTGTATGAAAAGAATTTTACGATATGAAGGTGGTTTACGTGGTTTATATCGTGGATTTGGTATAACAATTGCACGTGATTGTCCAGCATTTGCAACATATTTTTTTACATATGAATGGATGATGGGAAATATACAAAAAAATTCAACAACAAAACAAGAACATCCATCTACTGTTGATATGTTAGTTGCTGGTGGTACAGCAGGTGCATTATCATGGTTAGTAATCTATCCATTGGATGTAATCAAATCACGAATACAAGCCGATAATCGTTATTTATCAGTTTCACATTGTTTACGTGATACTATTGATCGTGAAGGATTAAATGTTTTAATGCGTGGATGTAGTCCAACATTATTACGTGCATTTCCGGCTAATGGTGCTACATTTGTTGTTGTAACATGGACATTATTAGCATATGAAAAATATGTTAATCAATCATCATCAACAAATCATTTATTTCGATCAAGTAATTCTCGAAATGTTGATTCGGCAACTCAAGAAGCAGCAACAAATGTTGCTACTGTTGCTGCAAAATCAACAACAACAACAACAAATAAAAGTGATAAATCACCATTTATACAGGAATCATAATCAAAATAAATCAAAACAAAAAAAAAAAATTAAAAAATCTTTTTCTCCTCTTCCATTCTCTACCGTTTACTTCAAAATTACCTTCCACTTGTTATTTTAACTAAATTCAACAATGAGATTCTATACTGGAAAATTTTTTTTATTCAAATGTTTTATTTTTCTAATTTTTTTTATTATTATGATAATTATTACACAGTATTTCATATCTCTCTTTTCAAATGTATACTATATAATTTTAGTAGTTTAATATAATAGGTGATGATGAATAAAAAAAATCCAAAAGATTTGAAACTTGTTGATTCAAATAGTAACGCCATCTGGTTACTGATTGTTTCTGCTGTATCAATAATTGATTCAAAATCAAGTTTTTACAAAAAAAATGTTTTTTTTAAATAAAATTTTATTTTATCTTTTAAAATTTAATTAATTAAATTCCAGAAAAAAAATTAATTATATAATTTATTATTTACATAAATAGATTCATTATTTATATGGCAATCGATTGATGATTAGTTTATAAGGGATTGATTGATTGATTGTATTATAAATCAGCATGAGGATTTTCAAAAAAAAAAATATTGTATACAAAGAGGTAAGTTATATTTTACAAATGGGCAACGTATAATTGAAACATTAAGAAGAAGAAAAAAAATGATATTTGATTTACTAATTGTAATTATGAAAGGCAGAAAAAAAAACAAAAGAAAGGTGGTTTTTCGCAAAAAAAAACAGAAGAAATTTTTTTCCAGAAAAAAAATTGATAATCACAGTCAAATATTAATAAAAATGAATTCTTCGATTTTCTTCAAATGATTGTAGATAAGTAGGTAGATATTCCAAAAAAAAAAAATTAAGAAAAGTTTACAGAGAAAGTTTATAGAAAGTTTTCTCTATGAAAAAAAAACAATGATCAGTAATTGATTGATTGTTTGATTGTTTATACAAATGTATATTGTATTGAGCTACTACGTTGTTGTTGTTGTTGTTGATTACAATCAACATCTTTTTTTGTAGAATCATCACCATTAATGGTATTGGTATTGGTATCATTATTATCATTAACATTCAAATTCCCGGTCATTCCAGATGATGAATTTTTGATTTCAATATGATTGCCATTTGTTGTTTCCTTATCGCTATTATTACCATTGACATTTATTGTTGGTTGTTGAAATTGTTTGTTTGGATATGAAAAACTAGTCATTTTATAATTATTCATCATTGTTGTTGATGCACCATTATAATTATGATTACCATTTCCGTTGGCAGTATTCAATGGTATGTTTGCCATTGTTTGACTATTACCATTATTATTATTATTTGAATTTTGATGCTGATGTTGTTGATGATGATGATGATGATAATGATTGTTTTTAATGATCGTATTCAATGATGATGATTCTGAACCATTCATAAATGCAATCGATGAATTTAATGGTGATATTTTGAGATCATTATTTGATGATGATGACATTGATGATGAACATTGATCAATTGTATCACTTGCGCTTGAACTATTTATTAATGCTGCAATCGGTGTTGTTGAACATGATGATGATGGTGTTAATAATGAAAAATTATCTGCACTTTCATTCAATGATGAACGATTAAATGTTAATAATGTTACTGGTTTTATTTGCTGATTACTAATTGAACTTTGTATCGATCCAGATGAATCATTTCGATTACGATTTCGTTGTTGTTGTTGTGGTTGTTGTGATTGTTGTTTTCCATTTCCATTCAATTTTTCCATTTTATCAACATTTAAATCATAATCAATTATATCGGATGTAGAATATTTTTTATGATTTTGATAATTTAATTGATTTTCATTATTATCATCATGTTTAGGTAGATAACGTTCAATATAATTATTACGTGAAAATTCTAATTTACTACCAAGTTTTATTTCCAATGGTGGACTAGGTAATAGATTTTTTTCCTCATCTTCTTGTTGTTGTTGTTGATTTTTTTCATTACTGTTATCCGGATTATCTGTTACAACAAGTAATGGTGATGTTTCCTTATTATGTTGTTGATCAATATTTCGTATTTTAGATTTAACATATGTTGCATTCAATAATGGATGTGGTGGTGAACAAGGTATATTTAATGAATCATCATCATCATTATCGTTACCATTGATTATGTTTGAATTATCAAAATTATATTGTACAACATGTGTAAAATTTTCTGCATGATTATGTTGATTGTGATTACCATCAGCTAGATATAAATCCGATGTATCCCAATGATAGCCTTCAGTTTGTGTTGAATTTGTCACTATCAAATTAAAAAATACAGAAAAATTATTTGACAGATTTAGATTGGACATTCAAAAATTACCATTTGAATCGGATGAATCATTAAGTGATGTTCGTTTACGATGTGTTTCACGATTACCAGTAGATGCTAGATTTTTTTTGAAAAAAGGGAAAATATTTGAAATTTTTTAAATTTTTTAAAATAAAATCAAATAACTTACAATGAATATTGACCATTTTTGAACGTTTTCGATTCTTTTTATCTTTATTATTACTATTACTATTATTTGAATTCATACTAATCATTGATGATGATGATTGTTTAATTGTTTCAATCATTTGTGGTGAAACACTTGCAATTGGTGCATTTTTCTTAAAATTTTGTGTATAATCAATAATACTACCACAACCACCACCAATAGTAACTGGTGTTTGTTGATCATAATCTTCTGAATTCAAAATACTATTACAATCATTATTTGTATTATTAAATAATTCTTGATAATTTTGTACAGATGATTTTATCTGATGATGATGATTAATTGTAGCTGCCGATATATTATTTGTCATATTTGTCATTTCAAAATTATTATCCTTATTATTATTATTAGTTATAATTGGTTGATGATCACAATTTTCATGATATGATGATATACGATGATTTGGTGATTTATTTAATAATGATTCACTAGCATCATTATTTTTTTCTTGTTTTGGTTTCTTTTTTGTTGGTCGATTACAACAAGTACAACAAAGTACAATAAAAAATGCAATAAATACAAGTGCAATTAATATTATAATAACAATCATCATTTCTTTATATGAAATATGAAAATATGATTCAATTAGATTTGTTGTTAAAAGACTATGTCCATTACATTTGATTGTTGAATTTATTGGACAAACACAACGAAATGTTCCGGGTAAATTAATACAGTTTGCTGTTGAATGACAAGCCGGTGTATTTAGATGACATTCATCAATATCTTGTTCACAATATAAACCATGCCAACCAGTATGACAATGACATTTTGGTCCAATTGATGTTTCTTCACAAACACCACCATTATGACAAAAATTAGCACTACAATGATTTGGTAATTGACAATTAATACCGGTAAATCCATTACGACATTGACATTTATAACAATGTGGTGAATGATTATTTTCACATGCATCTAAATCCGTTACACAGATACCATCATTTTGACATGGTGATATACTACACGGTAATGAATCAATTTCACAATGATGACCACGATAACGATGTCCCGGACATTGACATACATATGAACCATTTGTAAGATTTTCACATTGGCCACCATTCATACATGGTTGTGAACGGCAAGCACCGGTATTTGTTTTAAATGTACAACTAAATTCAATATTAGCCAATGTTTTTAATATTACAATAGCTGATCGTGATGTTTTATGAAATGGTATCTGTTGACCATTAAATAGAATATTATCTAAACATCCATTAAATCCATATAAAATTTCTTCATCACCAACAACATTATCAGAATTGGATTTAACATCACCACCAAAATAAATATCCGATTTTAAACGATTTAGACAAGAATTGGATGCACCCGGTGCAAATCCACCACTACGATATTTTCGATCCAATAATAATGATGCTGTATTATCTTTACGTTCGACAATAATTTCATGCCATTTACCATCACTTACAAATAGATTGTGTACACGTATTAAACCTTCACCTTCACCACAATTAAATCGATATTGTAAATAACCGGCAACAATTTCCAATATAACAAATGATTGATCATTTTGTTGTGTTAGAATACGTGCACGTAATTGTTGTGTACGAAAACGGAATGATAATTTATCAATTTTTTTAACAAATAAATATCGTACATATGATCGTCCATTGAATGATATTGGATTAAATTCCTGATAACAAACAAGTACATCACGTTCATTTGCTTGACAGGTTTCAGCATTTTGATTACAATCAATACCAGATTTTCCAAATGGACATTGACAAACATAACCTAATGATGATGATACTGGTAAACATTCTTTATTCGCTGGACATGGATTACGATAACATTCATTAACAGTTTCATTACAATGAATACCACCAAATCCAGTATGACAAGCACAACCAAAACGAAATTCATGATATGGTGATACGAATGTAAATTTTTGACTAACAGCATAGGTAATTTGATTTTCACTTAAATATAATTCTTCACGACATTCACCATTTTCACATTTAATATCATGACATTGTGATCGTTGTGATAATACATCAAATGTTAATCCGATTTGATTTTCAACAAAATATTTATTTTCCAATAATTTTGCACGAATCGTTTCACGACTTAAATGATGATGAACAGGATTATTATTATCATTATTAGTGGTAGTTATGGCAAACATTAAGCTTATTGAATCCGATGTCAACAAATGTTGTCCATCATTTCGACGATGTCTTTGTATAGATGATGATGGAATTATCTGTTGAATACTAAGTACAATGACATCATTCACGGTCACTTTAAACAATGCTTTCATTGATCGAATGAAATTTTTTAGAAAATTATTCAAAAAATCCTGTATTTTTATTGAATAGATTTGTATGACCATTGCATTTTCAATCATCGATTCAGTAATAGCTATCACTTCAATTTCAATTATACCCCAAGATTGAAATTTTTCATCCGATACTGTAACATTAATCTGATATTTTCCAATATCTAATCCGGGTAATGCACGTATAAAACCTTCATTATTATCGATAGCAAAAATATTTTGATTATCTTCAGAATTGGTCAAACTATATGTTAGTTTATCAAATGGATCATCATCGGTAGCATTAATTTGACCAATTAAACCACCGGGAAAATGATCCAATGAATTTATTGTTATCGATAATGGATGAACTTTTGGTGGTGTTTTTGATTCCTGTATGATCAATATATTCAACCAACCAATTGTAGATAATGGTGGATTACCTGAATCGGTAACTTTAATAACAAGTTTATAATCCGATTGATTTGGATAATGATTGAAAATTGTATTTGTACGTAATGAACAATCATTATCATTGATAATAAATTTTTCATCATTGTTTCCTTCAATAAATTCAAATTTAAATGGTCCCGAATTCAATGAACTATCTGGATCATAAATGTTAAATTCAAAAAATTTAAATCCAATTGGACGATTTTCTTTCAAATGAATTGTTTGATTGATTTTATCAAACAAAGGTGGATTATCATTATAATCGGATATTTCAATATTAATAAATACGGATGCTGAAAATGGTATCGGTTTACCATTATCAGAACAAAATATTTCCAAAATATATGATGAAATCATTTCACGATCAAGTTGTTTAGCAACTGTTAATATACCAAGTAATGGTTCAATATTAAATTCTTTATATGAAAGTTGATCATTTTCAAATGAATATGTTAGATTAGCATTGGGAGGCGAATCACCATCACTAGCAACAATTTGATAGATTTTATCACCAATCTGTGCATCTTCACGTATGACAATATCATATGAACGTTGAGAAAATTGTGGACGCATATCATTAATGTCATTAACATTGATCAATAGATTAACTTCACTTGATAATGGCGGTATACCTTGATCTTTAGCTTCAATAATGAGAAAATATTCATTACTTTGTTCATAATCAAGATCATTGGCTACTGTTACAGATCCGGTTTTACTATCAATCAAAAATGTATCATTAACATTACCATTGATAATTTTATATCGTATTTCAGCATTAATGCCAGTATCTTTACTTGTTGCAAATATTCGTATTACTTCAGTACCAATGACAACATTTTCATCAATATTAGCCTTATATGTTTGCATTTCAAATTCTGGTGCATTATCATTGATATCGGTTACATTTACAGTAAAATATGTTGTTGAATTTAATATTGGCATATTTACATCATATGCCATTATGGTTAGATTATAAAATGAACAACTTTCACGATCTAATGTTTTTGCCAAACGTATAATACCACTGTTTTCATGTATAAGAAATTCACCAGTTGATTCAATTAGTTCATAGATTATTTGACGATTAGGTCCAATATCAAGATCGATTGCACTAACTTTACCCAAAATCATACCGACTGGTGAATCTTCCGGTACATGAACTGAATTTAATTGCATTAAAAATCTTGGTGGTTCATCATTTATGTCACTAATGAAAAAATAAAATAAAATTTAAAATTAAAAAAAAATTATTTGTTATCAGTAAAAATAGTTTAAATTATGTTTACCTTAATAAAATTTCAACATTACTTGTACAATGCCATTCACGATTTTGATAATCATATACAATAACATTGAATAAATAGATTGACTGATGTTCACGATCAAGTTTAGCATTAGTTTTTAAACGGCCAGTAAATGAATCGACAATAAAATGATTTTTATGATCACCATCCAGTACAAAATAAAGTTTACCATTTTCAGCATCATCTTGATCAACAGCTTCAACCGTTAAAATGTGTGTTCCGATGGGAACTGATTCGCTAACCATTTCAACATATTTTGATTTCACACAAATTGGTCCATTATCATTTACATCAAGTACATCGATTAATAATTCTGATTCGGTATAATATTTTCCATCCGTAACCAATATTTTTAATGAATATTGATCAATTGTTTCACGATCAAGTGTTTTATTTACATAAACATCACCTGATGATGATATAGCAAAATGATGTAAATGATCACCTTTTGATATATAATATCGAAGTTCAGGATTCATATCCGGATCATCAACTTTGATACGAAGAATAACCGTACCAAGAAAACTATTTTCATAGATTGCTGCAATTGAACGTACAGGTTCAATCATTGGTTTATTATCATTAACATCATAAACAGCAATATAAAGTGATGTTGAATTACTATGTAAACCATCGGTTATATCAATCTGTAGATTATAATGTTCGATTGATTCACGATCCAATTGCTTTGTCAATGATATCCAACCAGAATTTTCATCAATACGAAATGTACCATCATGATCATTACGTAGATTATATTTTAGGGCATTATTCAACAGATCAATATCATTATCTAAAGCTGTCATTTTGAATATTGTTGATCCAATTTCTTGATTTTCGGCCAATGATAAATAATATGATGCTGAATCAAAATAAGGTGTACAATCATTTTCATCCATAATATTAATGATTACATAAAAATAATCAGTTATATGATAGATTTTATCATAAACACGTAATGCTAAAATATGTTTTGATTTTATTTCACGATCTAATGGTTCATTTACATAGATTCGTCCATCACTATCGATACGAAATTTATTCGAATCAGAACGTTGATCTAAACCAACAATTTCTATTTCAACATCTTTATAATTGGCTAAATTTAAACTTGCTACAATTGAACCACGTTCAATATTTTCTTTGACAAAAACTTCATATAAAAATGCTTCACGTTTATGATAATCACAAGAATCAACAATTTCGATTGTAATTGGAACTACATTCGAAATTAATCGTTTTTGAATATTTTTACCAATATTATTACGAACATTACCCGGAACATTAAAAGCTTTGACAAAAAATTGAATTCGTTTACCAATTAATTGTGTAAGATTTTTACGAATATAAATATAACCAGTATCGGATGCAATTTCAACATAATCATTTATCTGATTCATCATAGTTGTTGAATCTAGATCATTCGCATCATCATATATTGAATATTGAATAACAGTATTTTCTGGATCATCATCATCATCTAATGCTAATATTGATAATATGGTCGAATCGACTGGTACATTTGCACAAATTGAACATTTATATTCATCCACAATGAATCGTGGTCCATTATCATTTTGATCGATTAATGCAATACGTAATGCTGAAATACCAATACGTTTACCACGATCTTGTGCACCTAATATTAGCCAATAAAATTTATCATCTTTTTCATAATCTAATTCCATTTTTAAACGTATTTCACCAGTTATTTGATCCATGTTAAAAAATTTCCTACCATAATCATTAAGTATATGATATTCAATTTGGCCATAAATATTATCATCATTATCGGTTGCATTAACAAACAATAATGATGTACCGATTGGTTGATTTTCACCGATAGCAACATTATTTAGTATACGATGAAAACGTGGTGAAAAATTATTTACTGGTCGAATAATAATTGAATAGGTTTCTGTTGTTGAATAAATACCATCCGTTAAGGAAATATTTAATTTATAATGATGTTTAGTAATATGGTCATTATGATGATGATGATTATGTTGTTGATTATGATGATGATGATGATAAAGATAACGTGAATTTTTAAGATTTTTTACATATATTGAACCAGTTGTTTCATCAATTTTAAATGCCATATTTGAACCGGATATTATTTTATAACGTAATTTATCCTGATCACTTTGATCAGCATCATAACCAATAATTTTTGTTACAAAACCATCGCTTTCAATATCTTCATCGATTGTTGTTGTAAATGTAGCTGGTAATATTGGTGAATTATCATTTATATCTAATATTTCAATCCATACTTGTGCTGTTGATGTTAATTGTACTGAACCATAATCATTAACAATAATTTCAAAATGATAAAATGATTCTAATTCATAATCAAGACTTTTCTTTAAATAAATAATTCCTTCATCGGGTGATATATAAAAATGACTTTTATTCATACTAATTCCCATTAAATGATATTGTAATCGTGAATTTGCACCACTATCTGGATCATATGCTTCAACACGTAAAACTGGTGAACCGACCATTAAATTTTCCGGTATCGAAACATTATAATAAAATTTTGTAAACATTGGCTGATTATCATTGATATCTTCGACTAAATTTGGTTTTAGAGCAAACAAAAAAAACAAGAGAAAGAGAGAAAATTTTGTTATCATTCTTCTGTTCAATTCTTTTTTAAATGTAGTTTTTACCTTTAATATAGACATTAACCGTAGATGATGTATCCGAAATTGCATCCGTAGCCGATATAAGTAAATTATATTGGCTAGTTGTTTCACGATCCAATTTTTCCACAACACTTATTGTACCTTTATTTTTTAAAGGAGAGAAATGTGATAAACAGTTAATGATTAGAATTTTTTAAAAAAAATTTCAAATTTTAAAAAGCACATTAATTTTTTTTTTCAATTATTACAAACACACAACACTCACATAATGTGTTACTTATCGTTGTTAGATCTATGTGTATAATGCATGTGAAGAAAATGTATGTTTTGTTTGTTTTTGTCCCCAATCCCAAATGGTTTTTTTTGAAAAATTTAGTTTATTTTAGTAATTAGAAATGAAAGAAGAAATTTTTTTGTTTTCAAGTAGAACGAAGAAAGGAAACAACAGAACCGAATATCCCCAAGAAAATAGTAGATAGGTAGGCAAGTAGGTAGGTAGTAAAATAGTAAAAATTGTTGACGATGAATTGGTTAAAATAAGGATGTTGTTGTTGTTTTTTGGTTGTTGAGAATAATAAAAAGAATGAGAAAAAAACAAGAATGACAATAGACAAAAAAAATTAATTAGTAAATTTTGTTAGTTTTGATTAGTGATAATTAAGTAGTAACAAGTGATTGACATTGAACAACTAAAAAAAAACTACAAAATTGGTAATTAGTAACCAAAAAAACAAATACAAACCTGTATTAAAATCCAGTAGAAATTCATCATTATCATTACCAGCTTCAATTTGATAGAAAATTTGTCGACCATGTGAACTTTCAGCTTTTATTGTTAAAAATGGTAACATTGGTGGATAATTTTCATTAATTGTTACATTATAATATGATTGTTGAAATAATGGTATACCACCGGTTATCATACGTAATGTAACATTTATCATTGAATTCATTGATGGTTTACCTTTAATTTAGATTTGACAAAACAAACAAACAAAATGAATTTGAAATTTTTTGAAATTTTTTAAAGATAAAATAAATCTTTACCTAAATCTTTAGCCATAACAAGTAATGTATAGTTAATTGGATTATGATTATTATTATTATTATCAATAAAATTTTGATTAATTTGACGAGCAATAGTTAAATGACCAGTTATTGTATTCAATGCAAATAAATTCATTGGATCACCAGAAATAATTGAATAATGTATTTTTCCATTAATACCATCATCCATATCGACTGCTTGAATTTTACCAATCATATCACCAATATTTGAATCCGAATTGAATACAAATTGATATGGTAGACCAACAAATTTTGGTTGATTATCATTAATATCTTCAACATTAATTTCGATTAATGTTTGTGCTATTCGATTACGAATTGAAATTGATTGTACTTCAATGGCTAGTTCAAATCTTTGAATGAAAGAAATGCGAAAACAAAAAAAATCAGCAAATTAAATACAAAAACAATGAAAAAAATTTTTTTAATAAAACATACTTTGGTGTTGTCTCACGATCAACGGGAATTCCACGATAAAGAATTGCACCAGATGTACGAGCAATTTTAAATAGATTTGTTGGTGTCATTATACGATAAATAAGATGTTCATGAAGTTTATTACCTTCAATATTTGGCATTAAAATTGTACGAAGATTTGATGAATTTTCTTGAATGGATGCTTGAAAACGTTTTTGACGAAATTTTAATGTACTTATTGGTAATAATTTAACATTAATAAATACTTTTGCTTCGGCTGTAAATTTTCCATCACTAACAGTGACAAATATTTCATGTAAACCTAATTTAATTTCAGATTTTGTTGTCATAATTTGACCTGTTGTTGAATTTATCCAAAATTTTGTCAGTTCATCATCAACATTATCATTTAATTTTGGTGATGATTTTAAATAATATTTTAGATCTGGATTTTGTTCGTTTCTTAAATTTTCACCATTATTTTTATCTGGATTAAAATCACAATCCATAGCTGTAACTTTAGTAATGATAACATTTGGAAATGTTGGTAAATAAAGTGTTGCATGAAATTTATCAACAACAAATACAGGTGGACAATCATTGACCGGTAGACAACGAATACGAACCATTGCATCATTTGTTGATTTTAATTTTGGTGTACCATCATCAATAACCGAAACAGAAAATTGTAATTGTTGATGTTTATCACAATCTAACATTTGTATTAATGAAATAGCACCAGTACGTGGTTCAATACGAAAATATTCACGTGCTTCATGTTCAACAATTTGATAGACAAGATTATAAAATGAATCTTTATCATAAGCATGAATTACTAATGGTGAACCGGATTCTGTTTGAACAAATGTATTGATCGGTGTTGTTTCAAATATTTGTCCATCGAATATTGTTTGATTCCAATATGGTGCATTATCATTAATATCGATTATATTAATAAATACTTTGGTTGTTACATTTGCACCAATTAGATTTGATGCTTCAATTGTTAATTGATAAGCAGAACAATGTTCATAATCTAATGGTCTACGAATATAAAGTTCACCATTATTAACATTAATAGCAAATGTTTTATCCATATCACCGTCTATAATGGTAAAAAAACTGGCCTGTTTATTAACCATTTTAATTGATAAAATAACAGTGCCAACTTTTTCATCTTCACGAATATCAACTACATAATTTGTTTGTTCAAATTTTGGTGGAGAATTATCAGGTAATGTAATTAAAATATGTACATTTGCCGTATTACTTAATGATGGTTGACCTTGATCATTAGCTTTAACCAATAAATAATATTCGGATAATTGACGAAAATTTAATTGTTTAGCAATATAAATATAGCCAAGATCCGGTTCAATATCGAATGTTTGATCAATATTTCCGGATATAATTGTATAATTGATTTTAGCATTATTACCATAATCAGTATCGAATGCTTGTACCTGTAATATTGATGTACCAATTGATGATGATTCAACAACATTTGTTTCAAAATGTGATGTAATAAATTGTGGTGATTGATCATTAACATCGATAACATTGATTATTACTTTAGTAAATGTACGTTGATGTAATGAACGTGAATGTTTACGACCGGATCTTGCTTCAACTAGAATAACATGTTGTTTTCCTTGTTCATAATCTAATCGATTTTTGATCTTAATAAGACCAGACCAGCTTTCCACTTCAAATTTAGTTAATGTTTCGGGTGATTGTGTTGAATAAATAGCAAATGATGTTTGATCATTTAAATCATTAATGACATTCAATTTAATAACATCACTACCGACTGTTATATTTTCAAATACATTAACAACATATTTTTCCTGTCCAAATGACATAACATCATCATAATCATTCATAATATTTACTAAAATATTAATAGTTGAATTATCTTGACCATCGGTTGCCAATAATGTTAGATTAAATTGATTGATAAATTGATTTTTCAATGATTTTGTAACCACCAATGCACCATTATCAAGAAATGCAAATGAATCATCAATATTACCATTAATAATATAATAACATAATCGATCATTGTCATCATCAGATGATTTAATCCATGCAGCTGTATAACCAATATCTTCATTACGGTTAATCATTATAATTGAATCAAATGGTTCAATTGATGGTTTATGATTATCATCACGAATATTTACTGACAATACACGTATTATTACATGTACAGTTGATGTAAATGGTTCAGGTTGATTACAATCGGAAATTTGTACAACAAAATCATAGTTTCCTTTTGATATAATATCTTTTGTTGAATAAATACGTCCACTATTTGTATCAAGATGAAAGAATTTTTTCTCATTTCCTTCAATTATTTCATATGATAATGTACAACGATCATCATCATCTTGATCATAAGCAATTATCTGACAAACTGGTAATCTTCTATCAATATTTTTTCCATACATATAACAACGATAAGTATTCATTATAGATTTTGGTTCAAATTCATTTACATCCAATATGTTAACAATAATTGGTGTACGTGATTTAAGAAATGTTGTCGTTTGATTATCATCATTATATTGATTACTATCGGTAATTGTTGGTTCCATAACATCTAAATCCAATACATAACGTGAAATTGTTTCACGATCTAATTTATCTGTTGTTCGTATATGACCTTTATTATCAATTTCAAATGGTACCTGTCTATCACTAATATTGAAAAGAATTTGATTTGATTTATCTTTCGAAAGACGAAAATCTTGATCATATGCTTCAATCTGTAATACAAGACTACCAATTGGTATATTTTCCAATACATTTACAGTATAGAATGATTCTTTTGTTATTGGTGGCATATCATTAACATCTTCAATTTCAATATATAATTCAAGAAAACTTGCCAATGGTACGGCAGCACGATCTTTAGCAACAATTGTTAGCCAAAAATTTGAATTAATTTCACAATCCAATACAATTGATGTATAGATATTTCCATTCGAATCAATTGTAAAACGACCAAGACCATTACCACCAATAATTTGATAAATTAATGGTAAATTTGGATTATCCTGATCAATAGCTTTGACTTTTGTTACAAATGTACCAATTGGCATATTTTCTTTAACAACAGCCGTATCATAGAAATCGGCAAATTTTGGTGGATAATAATTTTCATTTACATCTTCAATTTCAATGATTAAATATGTATTTGTTGATAATGATGGTTTTCCTTCATCCATAGCCATTATAGTTAAATTATATAGCTGTATTTTTTCATAATCAAGTGATTTATGTAAACGAATATTACCGGTTAATTCATCAATAGCGAATGTATTATTTTCAGTATCAATTATTGTATAACGTATATCACCAGATTCATTTTCATCCTGATCAAATGCTGATATACGCATCAAACGTGTACCGATCGGTATATCTTCACGAACTTTTAGAAAATATGAACTTTGAAAAAATAATGGTGCATTATCATTGATATCTGTATGTAGGAAAAAAAAGAGAAAATTTGATATAAACAAAAAGATGTCAAGGTTTTTGTCAAACAAATTGAAATTGAAAAAAAACGAGAAAAAAAATATCAACTTACCAAGAACATTAATAGTTATCACAGCAGTTGTCGATAATGATGGTTGTCCACAATCCGAAACAGTTACATAAATAATATATTTATCAATTGTTTCACGATCTAATTTTTTATCCAACCATAATGTACCATTATAAAGATCAATAGAAAATGTATCGGCATGTCCATCAATATAATATTCAAGTTTTGAATTTTCATTCGAATCTTTATCATATGCATAAATCATACCGATAATTGTTTTTGGTTTCATTGATTCAGAAATTTTAAATATATAATCATCATCAATAATTGGTTTATTATCATTAACATCTTCAACAATAATTGTTATTGTTTTATTTGTACATTTTTGATTATATAAACATTGATCACAGACTTTTATATTTAATTTTAATTGTTTAATTAATTCATAATCTAATTGTTCAATAAGATAAAGGCTACCATCAAATTGATCAATTTCAAAATATATTTTATTATTATTATCAAAATTATTTTCAATTTCCTGTATATTTAATGACCATATTAGTGATGAATCAAAACCATTATCATAACTATCATTAGCCATTATTGTTGCTATTTTTGTTCGTATAACAGTATCTTCACGTAATCGTATTTCATTCCATTTATCAATAAATATTGGTGAATGATTTTCATCATCATCATCATGGCCATGATCATTCGTTTTTTTCAATAATTTTATAGCTTCTTTTTCTTCCGGTTGTAGTTGTATTGAATCTAATGTAGCAGAAATACGATATTGTTGTTGTGATTTATATCGTATACCTGAATCAGTACATTGTACATTGATATTTCGTTGTTGCTGTTGATGATGTTGATGTTTTTTCAATGTCGATAAACGTTTTGATCGAATATCTTTTCGTTCGTTATTATTTTCAACTATTGTTGCTTTTGTTTTTGTTGCTGTTGTTGTATCATCAACAACAATAATGTTTATTAGATTTGTATCGGAAAAATAATGACCATCAGTTGCCGATGTTGTTAAGGTCCATAAAATTTTATTATTACCATTATTATTATTATTATCATTATTTTTATTCATACGATTATTCAATAATTTTATCTCTTTACGTAGATTACAGATCAATTCAAGTTGACCATTTTTTTCATCCAAACGAAAACAATGTTCAATTTCTTTTGGTAATTGTTGTGTAAATAAACGATAATAAATTGAATTATTATTATTATTATTTTCATTTAATCGATCTAAATCGATTGCTGATAATTTTAATAATTGTGTAAATGGTTTAGTATCGATTGATAAATATATTGTACAATTAATTTGTTCAAATTGTGGTCGATGATCATTTGCATCAACAATAGTAACATTAATTGCAATTTGATTTTGTCGTCGAAATGGTTCACCCCAATCAGATGCACGTATAAATAGTAGATAATTATGATGCATTAATTCAAAATCAAGTGGTTGATTTATAAATATTTCACCATTATATTGATCAATAGCAAATGGTAATTGTTCTGGATCTTTACCATAATATAAAAGTTCATATGTTATAAATCGATTATTTGTTTCGGAATCATAATCGATAGCATCAACTTTATAAATAATACTACCATTTGGTTTATTTTCTTCAATCGATAATTGTACAATACCATTCGATGGTATATCTTGATTTTTAAATTGTGGATAATTATCATTTACATCCATTAAATCAATATATATCATTGTTGTTGCAATTTGATTCAATTGATGTTGTGCACGAACTACAAGACGATATTCGGCTATATTTTCACGATCAAGTTGTTTTCTTGTATAAATGATACCATTACCAGTAATACCAAACGTATTATTTTCATTACCATTTATAATGGAAAAATGTATTGAATTATCTGTTATCGATCTAATATCACTTAATTTTTTTGATGTTTGATATTTATTATTAATAATACCATTACTATAGGAAATTTTAAGATCAACTTGTAAAACCTGTGTACCAATCAATGAATTTTCATATAATTCTTTATAATATTTTTCCGATGTAAATTGTAAATTTAAACTTAAATGTTCATCCAATGATATTTGTATTGTTTTATTTGTAATACGTTGACCACAATCACGTGCCTGTACAACAAGCTCAAACATTGATAATGATTTTGATAAATGAAATAGATCAGCAATCGATTTTATCAATTGTAAATTATAATCATTTGATGATTGATTTGTAACACGAAATAATGATTGTTGATTACCATCAATTATATTGAATGAACAAATTTGACCATAAATACCTAGATCTTCATCACTAACATGTATGATTGCATAAATTGATGAACCAACAATCAATGATTCGGGTGTGGTTGATGTCAATGATAATGTACTATGTTGTTTAATTGAGATCAATGGTGCATGTCTATTGACTGGCTGTATTCTTATATTAACTTTTGTTTTAGATGATTCAATTGTTTGTGATGAAAGATGATGGCCACGATCGCGTGCCAATACCGTTAGATTAACAATAAATTCTGTCGATGGTAATGTTGTTATTGTATTTTCACTTGTCGATAATAATTGATGTAAATATAATGGACGTGTATTATAAATGATACCCAATGTTGGATGTATAGCAAAATATATACTATCATCAGTAAGGCTATAATATATTTCACCATTAAGACCAATATCCGGATCAATAGCTGTTACCTGTATTAAATTTGTTTCTAATGGTACATCTTCATAAACATCAATATCATAATTTTTTTCAAAAAATATTGGCGATATATCATTACAATCCAAAACGGTTACAGTAACATTACATTTTGATTTAAAACGTACAGCTTTATTATGTTCAGATGTAATTGTAGCTCGTACACGAAGTTCATATTTAGCTCGATTTTCTCTATTCAATACAGCATTTTTATCATGTCGTACACGAATCAGTAGAAAGAAAAAATTTCCAACATGACGATGATCGGCACGAAATATTTTATCCGGATCACCGGCAACAATTTTATAACGTACAGTTAATGCCGGATCCGAAATATAGATGCCCATTTTTTCTATGGATGTTGCATATATTTTTGATAATGAATTTTCCGGTATTGTAACATTATAATTTGAACGTGTAAATTCAAAATTTATACGATGATCAATAATACCACTATTATCAAATGGATCATTTATTGTCGATACAAAAATATTATTATTGGCAGTAGAATTCATTATAATGTTGTTGTTGTTGTCGTTATTATTGACCATAATGGTCGAAATAGTTGTCGTCATTGAATGATTATGATCAATTTTATCATGTGATATTAAATTTTCAATATCATTATCGCTATCATCAATAATAACTGTTTTTATCGTGCTAGTTGTCGTTGTCGTAGATGATGATGATGATGATATTTCATTTTCATTATCAATAATTTCATTCAATAATGATGATTGTTGTTGTTGTTCCTGAATATTATTATTATCATTAATATTGATTGTCAAATTTGTTGAGCTTTGTTTATTGAATTTTTTTGGTTGATTGTTAATTAAAATTTCATCTTGTTTCGGTTGTTGTTGTTGATGACTTAGATTCATTTGTAATGATGAATTTTCGTGTTGATCTAGATTATTATCAATAAATATTTTATTCAATAATTCTGTATCGATAATATTATCATTATTATCATCTTCATCATCATCATCATCCTCATTATCAATGATACCAACAGTGTCATTATCATCATCACCACCACCACCACTATCGTCAACATTATCATCATCATTATTATTAATGCTAAAATTATCAGATAATTTTATCGTTGTTGTAAAATTTTTATGACTATTTAAAGATGACCGTATTTGTTGTTCTTGTAGCTGTTGTTGATGATGATTATTATTATTGACTTTTTTATCAACATCAACAGCTATAGCCGTTATATTGAATATAATCATTATGGTCAATGTTAATAATAATAATAAAAATATTTGATGTTTATTATTACGATGATAGTTATGAAAAGACTTTTCTTTTGAACAAGAATTTACAAAGGAACTGGAACAGGAATTTGAATAAAATAAATATTTACAATTATAATAATTTAATGTTGTTGCTGATGATGATGAGATCATTGTTTTATCAATATGTTTTTGATGATGAATATTTTTAATTCTTGTTCGTTTACGATTTCTTCGATATAATTCACAATTATTATCATTATAGCCATTTAATTTAATGGCCATAAATTCTGTATTTTGAATAGAATTCATATTTGATTGGTTTATTTTTTCGGTGATTGTTTTGTTTTGTTTCAATATTTTTTCTCTCTACCACCCACACACACACTCACTGATAATCAAATTGAAAAAAAGTTAAGCTCTTGTCAAAAATTCTGCTGTTATTTCAATGTGAAAATCAAGAATATTCGGAAAGAATCATTGAATTAACAAAAAAAAAAGTTATCATTGCGAACAATAAATAGCGTGACAATCATGTTGATGATGACCATAAATTAGAATTTCGATTTTTGTTGGTTCTAATCATATTCTTCAATATTAATCTGGTAAAAGAACACAGAAGAAAGAAAGAAAAAATTCAATAAAAATATTATTAATCAGGTTTGATTGCGTGTTGTTGAATTTCAATCACTTCAACAACAACAACAACAACAACAAAAAACACCCACAAAAAGTGATCCATCACGCATATACACCCATATTATCATGATTATCAATTTACTTACCCCCATATTATCAAAACAAAACAAGTTCAAAATTTTTTCCCACCCCATTCAATAATCAGTTGACAATAAAGTTATAGTTGGTTATAGTTGATTTCATCAAACATTTTTTTGGTATTTGTATTCTAGATATATACGAAAAAAAACGAAAAGAAAACAAGAACAATTTAGTCATTATATATAGAATTTTGCCAAAAGAATTTGACTACAGAATGTGTGTGTGTCCATTGTCCATGTTTCTATATCATCATCATCATCATTGATCATTTGAAAAATGACCAATTGAAAAATTATGGTCATAAGGTTTTTTTTGTTATTATTTATATATGTTGACAAATAACAATGAATTTGTGTTTTGATAAATTATCAAGAATAATACAAAAAAAAATTGATGAATGTTTTTTTCGGACAATGATTTTCTATGTAAAATAACATTATCCAAGAAAAAAAAATATGATACAGGATGATGTCTCTTTCTCTTTTTATTTGATGATGATATGTTTGGATGGTTAAAAAAGTGATGCTAAATTTGGCCGCCAACAAGGAATTGCCAGAAAAAAAGAATCCGTCAATTTTACGGTTTTGTCTCCCTTTACGATAATGATGTTTTTATGAATTTGAAAAAAATAAAAAAAAATTTCCCCTTGTTATTTTTAGAGACAAACATCATCAACAACAACAACAAAAAATGATTAATTGTCGTCCATTTTTTTCTCCGAAAAAAAACTAATTTGTTTAGTTCAGTGTTTGTGTGTGTATGAAATCCATCAAATATCCTAACTAAAACCGTATTTCCTTGATGGATGAATTCAGAATTTTCATTTAAAAAAAAAATTTCTTCCTCTCGAAAATTTTGAAAATTAAGAAATTTGTTTTTTTTCTTTTCATTTATAAATCAAATGTTACCAAATGTATTGTGCAAATTTTCTACATGTTTATAAACACCAAAATTACATTCTTCTTTGTGTTTTTTTTTTCTTCTTAAATATTCATTTTCGTCATAAAGAAAAAACATATTGATGATGCAAAATATATTTTCGCCGTTATTATTATTATAATTAGATAAAATTGTTTCACTCAATCTCATGGGAAACCAAAAGAAAGAAAATTCATGATGATGGATTATTGAAAAGAATTGATCTTATTCACTACTAACTAGGAATCAAACAAACAAAACAAAACAAAACAAGCAGAAAAAATCAGAAATTTAAATCATTTTCAATGGAAAAATAAACGATATGTTAAAGAAAGAAAGAGAAAAAGGGAAAAATAAGGAATTTTGATTTGTAAAAAAACGAATTCCTTTAACAAATAAAAAATTCTTTATCATTCTTCGATGAAGAAATTTAAATTTGAACAAAACACACACAAACACTCGTTGTTTATATAGAGCATCCTTTATCAACAACAACGACAACGACAACAGAAAAATATTTTCTTTTGATTTGTGAAAAAAAACTTGACTTTTTCTCGTTACCCGACCAAAAAAGAAAAAAATTTCTGAATCATAATCATCATCATCACAACTAAAGAAAATACAAACAAACAAAGAATAAAACTAAAACTAAACTCAAGTTAAGAATCAAAAAGATTTAGAGAATAAAGTTTGAAAACAAACAATCATCATACAAATACAATCAAACAAGCATCAACATGGAAAAACAATAAATGAATGAATGAATGAATGAATAACATTTACAAAAATTGATCCAATAACAACAACAACAACTTTTTACAAACTTAATCGATAATAATATTAATGTATTGGTAAATATTTACCTGAAATTTTTAGTTTGTGTGTGTGTGTTGGTGAATCCTTGTTTTTCTAATTTTGTTTCATTGGATTTTCTACAGTTTTTCCTGTGTTTTCCTTTTGAAAATTCTAGATTTTCTTATAAAATTTAATAATTTTAAAATTTGTTTTTCATTAAATTTTCTAATTAAAAGATTAAAAAAAATTCAATTTTAATTAATCAAATTTCGAGAATATAAATTCATTTTTTTTTTTTGGTAATTGTAATTGCTTTTGGTGTGTTATTTCATCGTCGTCGTCATCATCATTTACAAAACACCGTTCAAATCACATTGAAAGCCAATGGATAGCCGAAAATAAAAAACAAATTATCAGTTACCATGGTGTTGACACACACATACACGATATTCAAGTGAAAAAAAAAATTCATTGCCTTATTCTGTTTTCTGTTTACTTTCACTGATTTTTTTTCTTGTTTTGTTTCACATGCAAAGTTTCATTAAATTCATATGAAGCTTGTTTCTTTTCATTAGTATTACGTTTGCACATTTTGTTTTTTTCGCTGTTGTTGTTGTTGCTAATGTTATATTGTGAAATCCAAATCATTATTATTATGATAATCCATATTTATTAAAAATAAATAGGGTCAATATCGAAACAGCAACAACAACAACAACAACAACAACAGGATGAAAACGAGAAAAAATACATCATCACAGTCAGTGTGTACTTTGCATATAATCAAAATATTGAAATTAGGTTTTTGCTTTGTTTTTCTGCTTTGTTCATTTAGCCAAAACAAATCAATATATATTACACAGACACTCACACACACACACACACATCCAATATTGTAGTTTGTTTTTTTTCCCTTGGATTTGAATTTGATTTGATTTTCATAGTAAAAATCAATAGGTTATTATTATTATTATTATTAGAAAACAAATATCGATATATATGGATCATGGATTTTGTTATTTGTTTGTTCGAATGGAAAAAACAGACAATAATGGATGCAAAATAAAGCAATGATGATGATGATGATAATGGCAGGCAATTTGAAAATTGAAGATTTTTTTTTTGATTTTCAAATGAAAAAAAAATCATTTCATTAAATGAATAAAAACGAGGTAAAAAAACAAAGCAAAGCAAAAAAAAAAAAAAAATGCGAAAAGCAATTGTCAATTATAATGTGTGGGGCGTGTACGTTTGTTCAGAAAAAAAAATACTAAACGAAACCGTTGATAAAAAGATGTCCTGATTTTTCGAGGACATCAAGTAGTTATGAAGAAAATCAAGACAATACAATTTTGGATAGGTGATGATAATTTCAATTATTATTGTCACTATATAATGTATCATCATACTCATCATTTTAATGTATCAAATTATTAAAAAAAACTAACAAGCAACAATTTCTTTTTTCATTCTTTTTTTCTCAATGTCTTTATCATCATAATAATAATAATGATGATGATGAATGCGAATGAAAAAAATCCTTTGAACAAAAAAAATACATTTGATGCATGTCTACATGGTTATTATCACACAAGAGAGACGAAGAAATAGCCATAAAAAGGTGAAAAATATGATGATGAATAATAATATGTTTGGAACATTAAAAAAAATTTACGATTTACAAGATTCCGAGTATTCAGGATGGACAATCATGTCTGTTGTGTTCAAAAATAAGAAAAGATTTTCCAAATTTCAAACACAAAAAAAATTCAAATCGATCACGATCGATTTGAATAAATATTGTTTACCTGACTGACTGACAATTGATTATTTGTTTTTTTTCAACAACAACAACAATGAGA